GGACCTAGGAAGCCTTGAGAGACCAGAAATGGGAGCAGCAGCGCAGGCGGACTCCCTGCACCCCGCCCACCCTGTCTGCAGCGGCCGCAGCATGTGGGTCCTCCCCTGCCGGCTCCTTACATCTTATAGGACGAACCATATGTGGATGTATGGACAATGGGATCACTGTAGGAGGGCATAACAGCACGTAAGTGTACATCCTGCTATTGAAAAGACATCAGACAAGTAGAGACTGGAAAAGGACCACAAGCTCTTCTGTGTGACTGCTTGTAAATGTGGGATAGGCTGCAGCACATTGTGGGTAGCAGTCACTCAACAGGCGACCTCAGGGCTGTAGACACTGCACCACATAGCAATGAAGTCAGCAAGAAGGAGCAATAGACTAGAGTCAATTAATTTTACCCAACCAGGTCCTATCCAAACACTTTTAATTACACTAAATCCTGCAAAGTGTTTGTATGGCTGAGTCTCACCGTCATACAATATGTGTTATGAATGTGTTCAGCAGATGAATTGTAGTCTTACTGTTTGTATGTATGATCTTTTCCCCTTTATTCACGGGGAGGAGTCTGGTCAGTGAGTCTGTGAGCAGTTAGACTTATTTTCTCTTGTGAGATTATTTCATTTGAATAGCCTCATTTTAGGAGGTCTGAAGAGGCTGAACTCTGAAGTATTTCACAAAGAAGAGACATCTTATTTTTCACCCGGGTGATTAGCTTGCAACCTCTTAGGTTCATCTCATAACCTTTTTTGAGGGTCTGGACACCGAGGATGGGACTCACTGGTGTGAGTGGGCTACAGAAACAGGAGCTGGGCTCTTCAGAAATATGTAAAAGACTGTGTGTGTGCAGGTTTTCATTCAAACCAGCATCAAGGGATTTCACTTCACTTAAACCAGATGTAAGAAGCTGATTTATTAAATCACATGGAAAAGCTGTACACACTGTTCAAAATAAAGATTATTATCCTGGGGTGTTTGGATCTCACACAGGTTTACTTGATCTGCAGATATGGCCACATAAATGTATAAATACTGATTTGTTTAAATGTAAAAAATCCTAAATTCTATGTGATCATTTTTGGGGTTCCCTATACTCTTGGAAACAGAACACAATAAAACATAAAGGTTTTGAGAAACCATTTCTTCTGTTAATTTTCTCAGTTTAGCCAGTTTTTTATAAACATAATAACAAGTGCTATACAATAAGACAGTCAAAACAACATAAAAACAAACACAAGTAAGTTACTGGAGCTAACGTCACATTGTGTTTATTTCAGGGGCTTCTTCCCCTCAGTCAGGTGCTTGGTTCATTAAGAGTAAAGGCCAAATTCATTGTTTCAGGTAAAACCAAGTGGACTGGAGTACAAAGAGAGTACAGAAAGTGGGTCACTGCCCGACCATGATATGTATGGTACACACACTTTATGTAAGTTCTGTCAATGAACTCTCATTGACAGAGGTTTAGTATTTTCCTGGGGTTGAAAAGTGTTTCTCTTAAACATTAACCAGGTGTGCATTTAACCTTTTCAGTGGGCAGATGGACATTGATTTCAATTCACCTCGGTTCAATGCATTTTATTATAAAGGTCCAGTGAGTAACATTTAGAAGGATCTATTGGCAGAAAGGGAACCTAATATTTATAGCTATATTTTCATTAGTGTATAATCACCTGAATATTGGAATCGTTGTGTTTTCATTATCTTACAATGAGATATTTTTATCTACAGATGCTGTAAGTTTCCTAACCCTAACCCATGTTGAATATAATATAATAACCCAGTAACTAGTAGTGTTACTATACTACATTTTAGTAATAATATCATAGTTACCCCTCAAATAATTATTAGTTATAGCATTACCTAAATTGGCCCCCCCATATTAATTTGAAATCCAACAATCAAATCCCATCCTAGGATTCATTTCTCTACTCGTGGAGGAAATTAGCTCTAAAGATGGAAATGCTTACATTCAACAAATGGAAATATTCCATTACTTTGATTTTACCAAACACAACAGGATTTTAATAGTTGTATATCAGAATTTTGGGGAAAAGTTTCACTATTACCAGTTTTGTGGGGAGTAGCAGGGTAGTAAGTCGTAGAACTATTAGTGAGTAACTAAGTACAGGGAGTAATAAGTAAAGTAATATTATTACTTTTGAGAAGAGTAATGTGTACATTGCAAACAACACGCAACACCCACCCAGACAGCAACAGGCTGACTGTAACAGCATAAGAACACAGTGAAATATACTACATTACAAACATTAATATCAAAACACTATAATTAGGAAACTCATAGTATCATAGAAAATGTTTGGGATGATGTTGTAAGTCATGTGCGGCTTTTTTTTTTTTTTTTTTACCTCGACATTTTTAGAAAGAGGAAGCCGTGACTGTGATGTTGAAAGAGAGTCCCGTGGCTTGTCTCTATTCTGGCATCTTTTTCTAAAGAAATAAGATGATGACATCTGATCATTAACCGTCCTAAAAGTTGCTGATGTTGGCACTTTTAGTCTTTTGGAGAGTGTGTTACTACTACAACTACTAGTAATGAAACACACACACATGCATGGCTAACCTTCACCTAAAACCAAACAGGTAAAGTGACAACTGCCCAAGTTCTCTGCCCCGAGAGCACTGTGTGGCAATTTGTTGTGTGGTAATATAATAAACTGTAACTCTGTTCTTTAGTACTAAAGTACTATATTAAGTAACATGAATACGTGGGGCCAGATCTTGAGGTCCTGTTTTGAAGAGCATTCTTGTGTCAAAAAGTTTCTTTAAAAGAATATTTCGACATTTTGGGAAATTATTATTTATTATTATTTATTGTCATTTGCTTTCTTGCCAAGAGTTAGATAAGATTGATACTTCTGCCCGTCATCTAGTTAATAGTTGGTTAGCTCCTGGCCAAGAAATAGTCCAAGCGCATTGTAAAACAGTGAATTGTCATATTTACACTTTTGGGTATAGTTTAAACAAACAAGATATTATGTGTTAATTAGTGAGCTTTAGAGGTGCTGTCAGGTGTATTTTGCAACCTTTGTACAGAGCCAGGCTAACTGTTTCCAGGCTTTATGCTAAGCTAAGCTATCCATAAGCTGGCTCCAATTACATATTTATAATGCAGACATGTGACTAACTCCCAGCCATAAAGCCATTAAGTGTTTTGGAGAGATGGGGAGGGACAGTAGAGCCTCATTGTTGCCTTAGGGCCCCCTAATCCGGCCGTCCGTACACCTCGGTCTAACTTTGACCTGTCAAACAGCCTGATCTGAGCATTTATGTTTTGCCACTTATCATTTGCTACTTTGGACCTACGTTCATTGATAAGGTTACAGAGCCTTCCCAGCTTTATCATATGAGCCGCATTATTCAGACCAAGTACAACAAGAGCTGAGAGCAATAATCTATACTCGGCATTTGATAGAACAATCTCCACTCAAGGTCTTGGAGCTCTCAGCCTTGTCGCACTGTCTCCATCATCAGATAAAGTTTGCTTAGTGGTCAAGTAGATGTGTTGAAACACTTTTAGGACACACAAAATCCACCCATGTTGGTTTGAAAGCTGAGTTTGACTGGGCATATGTAGTTTAATGTAAGAAATATGTAGCAGTGCAACAGTCTCTGTCTATTATGTGTTTTTTGTTGTAACAGAGATCTGTGGCACTTATGAACAATCTGTATCAGGGCCTTTATTTGACATTTATATTTAAATTCCTTTCAACTATAGTGATTGTGCGATGCGATTAGCCAGTGGCTCAAGTGGTAGAGTGGTTCGTCTGCTAATCATAGGGTTGTCCACCGTGTCAAAGTTGCGCGAGACACTGAACCAGCCACTAGGGATACACTAACCAGTGCCTTCCTTTATGCCGTTCCCAAGTCCGGATAAATAGGGTGGGCTCCGTCAGGATGGGCATCCGGCGTAAAATGCCTATGCCGAATCAAATATGTGGGTCATCTGATCTCCATGCCGGGTTACTGTGGAGCAGTTGAAAGACAAAATAAAAAATAAAACATCTGTGATTATGTGGCTCACAACCTTAACTGACCCTTGGAGTTAGTACCTCTTGGCTATATCTACACATACACACACATAGACATATGTAAGGGGCGCATGCCTGCATTAACACTAGTTCATTGGTTTAAGGAAGTGCGTACAAGCTTGTTTGCGTGTGTTTAAAAAAAGCTGTGTCTTGTGATCAGGTGATGATTTTAGTAAAACATACGTTATGAGGTCTCATGAGTGGTGTTGTGGTTGAAGTCAGACCTCCAGCACTGATTTACATCTCGGCCTTCAGCTACCAGCGACCTCTCCCTCGACCTCCAACAGCCTGCTGGATGCCACTGAAAGATAGTAATGGCATCAGAGGGAACAAGCCTTAAACAATGTGCTAAGTATCTCGGCTTACTAATGAAGATTATGTAGCAGTGTGTGCTCTGATTGCTCATCTGCCATAGCAACAGTAACATAGCAACAACCAAACTGACATTGCTACAGCATCTATTAGACCAAATAGCTTGACCCCTCATGTGGTGATGTCACCGTGGCTATTTAGGCTCTTCATCAATAAAGTAAAGACAATAAAATCACTGAAATTAAACATTATCTTATCATCCAACTGCATAATAATTAATAATAGTCTCTCTCTTCTTTCATAAATCACTTGATACTAAGAAAGCTGCAACTACCAGATCTGGACTTTACACTTTAACATTCTGTAATGATTTGTTCTGTTGATGTTCTCGGTCACTGTCATGTCGTTGATACTGATGCTAGCTCTTTCAAATGTGTGTTATGTTTCATGGGAAGTCATGAGTTACTTTAGCATCCTTTCTTACAGTCAAGGAGAGATAAGGCCTATCAGGGATGCTTTATTAATATGGACCCAGTTATGACACTGAGAGTTATTTTCTTTTTTGAGTCACATGACCTTTCAGCTAAACCGGACTGGCTACCACTCCCAGCATCCACATCTGGAGTTTGTCTCCCAGCTTCAGTGGCACTGCTGTCTGGCTTGCTGGGAATGTTCTAGTGTTTATTTTCTGCAGCCACTAGCCATGGAGAGGGGTATTCTCTGCTGCACATCAGAGAGAGTGATTGAGAAAGAGAAAAACATTGGTGACGGATGAAAGGGAGGGAACTTGCGAGGAAGAGGAAGGAAAAGCAGGCCTATATAAAGGAAGAAAGTGGGGCAAGAGCAGAGAGAGGTGTGGTTTGTGAGCATATTTGGGGAGACCTTCAGAAGCGGAACTGTAAGTACCACAGAGTCGTAAGTAAGGACAACGTACAACTTAACAACTTTTGTTTCTGGATTTTACCTTACTTTGTGGCTTCATAGAAGGCATTTGCATTTGCATACTATAATTGATTCCTTCTGTTGTTTTATGACCTACCAGAATCTCAATAAAGACAACTTTTTTCCTGTTATCCAAAAATGTATCCTGCTTGTTACAGACCTCATGACCTGGAATCAAGCAGGATATTTTGTTCCCAGATGTTTCCAGTTTCCGTTCATGTCTTGCTTGTGCAGCTTTTTCCATTTAAGTACTTTTGTGGTCAGCTTCTTTATTTATCTTAAAACGAGTATGTTATACTATGTTATACATTTCTCATTATTACCCTTTTTTTGCAGGTACAGTGACAAAAGCCTCCTGTGTGCATGTATGCGTCCATGCAGGTGAAAATTTTGTGTTTGTGAATTGTCTGCCTGTGTGTGTGCAAGTGTGTGGGATCATGCCGGGGGTTGAGAACAGCTTGAAGGTGCGACGGTGCCTCACTTTTTCCACGGGTCTGGTAGAGTGTCTGTGTTTTGCTGGAGCCGTGTTCGGATGGGCTTCGCTTGTTTTTGTCCTGAAGACGGAGGGCTACTTCGGCTCTCTGTGCGTCAACGCCACAGGAGTCAATGGGACACAGGTCTTAGGTCAGTTTGATATCCTCACCTCCACTTCTTTGAATTCTGAATGCCTGTAGAAGTAATCCAGTACTTTTACTGTGCAGCATAGTGACTTGGATTTCTACTGCAGACCTCTCTGACCTTCATTGTCACCTGTTCAACCGCATACTTCTCAACTATTTTTTATGTGACCACAGATTGCAGCGGACAGGATGAGCAGTTCTCGCTTGTTTTCACCATTGCTTCCTTCATGAACAATTTCCTGACGCTTCCCAATGGTTTCCTCTTTGACCGGTTTGGTACTACAGTGGCTCGGCTCTTTGGAATGTGAGTAAAACAACAACAACCATAATAACTTGTTAAGAGTAAATGATCAGTGGCTTTAAAATATTTTCTATGTAATTTCTCAACAAAAAAAGTTACTAACTAGAGGATTAAAAGCCCACTAGCTGGGTAGTTAAGAGGGATGAATTGAAATGACAAACATTGACTAGTAAAGAAAAACATAGAGGTTATGCATTAGTGTGATTATTGAGCAACAAGTATAAGGTGCAGCGGGTACTTTTACCTAATTGCTTGCATTGTATATGTATTTTCTTTAGCATCACCCAATTCTCCACCATCAGTTATCACATTCTGCCCATGAGTTGGATTGATTGATGTTATGTTCAAACAGCAGCATTTTTAAAATTATCCAAGGATACCCATCTCCTACTTCTGCCCCGCAGAACAGAGAATTTCAGTCAAAGTCCCTGAAAGCAGTTAAATCTATTAATTTATTTTCAGTTCAGACTTTTTCCCTTAATGCACTTTACAACCTGGAAATGATGTGTTATTAAACATCTGCTGACATATGACATCATCCATGGCACACATATGACAAATGTTACCACAGAGTAACTCAAGCATCCATAAAATAGAAAGTAAGCAAGAAAGAAAGAAGAAAGTAAGAGTTTTTATACCAAAAAGAAAAAAGTACAGCAACTCCTTTTTTCCTGGGCTGCAGCAGCCTTCTGTTTACTAAACCGAACACTTTGTCACTAAAAAGACAGATGGGCCTCTTCATCTCCCTGCACGACTCTTTGTCTGTGGTGGCTAAGCTAATGCTGCTGTGCAAAGAGGCAATTTCCTGTAATTTCAGTCTGTCTCTGGTATTTTGCTTAAAATCTGTTTGCTTACACGGAGATGGGGGGGGGCAGGGACAAAGCAGTATAGGGCAACTCCTACAAAACTGTAACTGGAAAGAGGAAAAGAGAGAGGATGATTAAGAAATATGACTATTAATCACCAGGGGAGTGAGGCATGTCAGAAAGAATTATCTTTTATATTTTGTTGCAGATGTTCAGACCCTGTGACCTAGAACTCCTCCTTATTGCCTTAGAGTTGAAATCTATCATAACACATGACCACACACACATAACTGCCTCGTTTATTGCCCCCGATATATTTAATCCACAACAACATACTGGTTCTAAAGGCCATATGTTTCCACTAAAAGAGGTTGGAGGGTGAATAAAAGGCCAAGGAATGCAAATAACTGGACAAGATGCGGTGAGATGACGATGGATAAAAAATAAAAATCAGTCAAATCTTATTGTATTAAATGTCACTTTTCTCTTTGCTGAAACTGTATTGATTTTTATTAATTTTGAGACCAATTTTCCCATCTCAAATTCTTTGTTTTGTAAAATCCTATCATTAAAAGCCCCCATTATGCCAATAAAATGATATGACACTACTGGTATTTCTTGTCCCCACCAGATCTCTTTACACCATGGGTACCTTGATGGTGGCCTTTGCGACGCCAGGTGATAAACATTTGTCCGTCTCTTTGTTTTGTGCAGTCTCAGGCCCTTATTGTCTAAAGAAATACTGATGTTACAGCTGACTCTGCTCTACTGTGCTGCTCTTCCCATTAGCTTTTTCCAACCTGCTCTTCCCAGCTCTGTCCCTCCTGGCAGTGGGTGGCATCTTGTTTCTAATCACCAACATGCAGGTACTGAAGCTTTCTTTCACATTAGAATAGATTTTAAAAAAGGTTTTGATTAATCTGCGCATTATTTTCTCCATTGTTGAACTGATTATTGCATAAAATGTCAAAAAAAAAAAATTTCTCAGCACCCAATTTGACAAATTAAAATTTCTCTTTTTCTGTCCAACCAAGAGTCGGAAACCCAGAAATATTACATTTTTAATGATATGAAACAGAGAAAAAAAGCAAATCATCAAACAGCAGAAGCTATACCGAAACAATGTTTAACATTTTTGCCAAAAAATGTGCTGCTAGACTGTTAAATGTTGAAGAATTTCCTGTAAAAACTTCACTTGTAAAAAAAAACTTTCAAGTTTGGAGATTCATCTTTTTTTAGCTATTTCTGAATGCCTGCATGCATGCTCTATCACTGGACTATCACCTAAAGGTACGCTAGAAAAGACACATGATCTAGAACCACTAACTCGTTCTATGACCTAGTTGTAAGAGCTTTTTTTGGAAGCTTGAGACTTGTTCAAGATCATAGTGTTCACCAGATAAGAAATAGCGTTCAGGTCTGTCCTCAGGTTATCATTTAACAGGAACACAAACAAAAGACAGAGAGTCACCCCTCAGTGCAGTTTTGTTGGCTGCAGGGTTTTTCTGAGACTGAGCTCATGATCTTCTGGGGGGGAAAAACACACAACTCCCTCTCAGGGAAAATGTGGTGTTTAATGCGTGTGAATGGTGTAGCTTTGAGTCTAAAACCACATCCTCATATTCAAAGCGGAAATTCAAATCAGCAAAAGCTCATTTTAAATAGAAAGCCTTACTGACATACACTTATATGCATTATTTATCTGTTTTAATCAATTCAAATTCTCTCCTAAAGGTAGGAAACCTGTTCGGCTCACATCGCTCCACTATCATCACTCTCTACAACGGGGCCTTCGACTCTTCCTCTGCACTCTTCCTTGTCATCAAGGTGAGAAACCTTCACGCACGTTGCTCTGATGAAGGAACTCCAGGATATATTTATAACCGACGATCTCCACCTTGTCCTGTTTTCTCGTGCAGTTGTTACAGGAGTCTGGTATCTCTCTCCGGGCCTCCTTCCTCTTTCTGTCCGCCTGCAGTGTCATTCACCTGTTTCGGACTTTCTTCCTGCTGCCCAAAAAATTCATTCCTTACCCACTGCCTGATCACTACATGTACGGGTACGAACCCCCAACAAACGAACACAGACACCAACACCTTCATGCATGCTTCAGTGATACATCAAATGTAAATAGGGCTCATTATTTATTCATTTTTTAAGATAAAAATATAAATGTGTCTTTGTTAAATTAAATTCATAGAAATAGTAATGCAAAAATACAAGTTAAATTGGATTTAAAATATGCCATTTTAATGCAACTTCTGTGCAGACTTGGCTTACTTAAGGGGCTCTTTGCTTGAAGAAATAGTTTACTGTAAACATATCAGTGTACTGTGCAGTTTACAGTACATATTGGTGTACTCTTACAACAAAAAAACAGGTTTTGAGTGTGACTTAACATAAAGTCTGGGTAAAAAAAACTATTTTAACTAAACTAAACTCCCATCCTTTTTTAAAAATCTGCATATTTTTCAGTGTGGGGGTGGGAGGAAAATACTGAGCTTTCCTCATCAAAGAAATCTGCTTGGTAATAAATTCAGTTGCAGATACTGAAATATTGAAAGGCAAACAAACACTTTGTTTTCTGTGAAAACATCATCATTTCATCTTACCAGCACAGTTTATTTTCACATCAACATCCCACACCCCTTATAACCTTCACATCCTGCAGTGTGATTATAGCTGGTTGGTACTTGAAAACCTAATTTATAAAGTAATCAAAATAAATTACTAAAGAATGCTCACAATGTACACAATGAACTCCTCAGTCTGTGGCTGACCCACTGTCACCTTTGACCTTTGTCAGGATAACTTGTGGTAAATCAAAGAGTCTGAGCTTAGAGCAGAATGGTGACACACAGAGGACGACAGAAGAAACGCCACTCAACAAGGACGTCCCTGTGAAACAAGGTGTGTACTACGACATGCATTCAATACATAGTAAGATACAACACAATCAACCAATCATAAAAACTATTTCTCCACCATAATTTTCCTTTCCTTTTCTTTTCTTCTTTTATCCTTGTCATCTCTTTCAGAGAAAAGTTTCCGTGAGTGTGTTCTGTCCAGGTTCTTTTTTTGGCATCTGCTTTGGTTGTCGGTGATGCAGCTCAGACATTACCTCTTCATCGGCACTCTCAACCCCATGCTGCAGCGGCTGACGTTGGGAGAGCCTTCACTTGGTAAACACAAGCACATTACATCATGTTGTCACTGTCTTAGCAAAGATGGAAGTTGCAAACCTTCATCATTAGGTAAACTTTCATCATCCTCCCCCTAAGCAAGGCAAGTTCATTGAATACTTACCATTATCCTCTGCTTCAACTAAGGACCTGTGTGATCTGTTATCTCAAACATACTTGACGAACTTTTATCTCAAACCATCTTCTCATTGCTTGTGTGTCGCTGCAGTGAGCCAGTACACCAATGCCTTTGCTATAACGCAGCTGTGTGGGGTGCTGTGTGCTCCCTGGAACGGCCTCCTCATGGACAGACACAAGGGAAAACCTCGCGCTGCAGGTAACACACACATACATAACAATGACTAACAGCGATAAACCCAAAAAATTTTCGGAACTTGACCGTGATGAGTACTAAGCTTTGTTTTCTCTGTGTAGACACGTCATCATGTGGTCTCCTTGGAGGAACAAGTGTTTGTTTTCATATTTGCGTGTGTGCCTGTTTGTAGGAGAGAGTGAGCAGGAGTCAGACCTGCGGGCCTCAGTGCTTTCTCTCTTCCTGACGGCGCTGCAGTGTGTGCTGTTCTCGGTTTGTGCCACTACGCCGTACCTGCCTCTTCAGTACCTCACCTTCATCCTGCAGGTGCTCAACCGTTCCTTCCTGTACGGCGGCAACGCAGCCTTCATCAGTGTGGCGTGAGTATCCAACACACACAGACACACACATGCACACGCCTCTTTGTGGACTACACTTATTGTACGGATGTTCCTGAGGCACATGGAGACAACTCTTTATATATGGACAAATCGCAAACTTAAATAACCAGGCAATTAACCAGTACGTTGCTACAGTAACACATGACAACAGAATTCTAATGCATCTTAACTAATGTATCTATGGTCGCATAGTTTAGTAATTAATGTTACAACAACAGCGTTTGCAGATGCTGCAGGGATTTCTAACTAACTAAAGAAGAAGCTTTTCATACAGTATAAAGAGCAGATACTGTTAGATCAGTACAGACTGATTTACTGACGTATAAACAATATTTTCTTTTCATTTAATCACTTGTGTGTGTGTGTGTGTGTGTGTGTGTGTAGTTTCCCATCATGCCACTTTGGGAAGCTGTACGGTCTGGTCATGGCTCTGTCTGCAGTGTTCTCTCTGCTGCAGTATCCCTGCTTTGCTCTGGTGAAAGGAGCTCTGGGTGGAGACCCTTTATATGTGAGTACAAAACATGTATTTGATAGAACTTCAAATCCGCCAACTTACGCAGGCCCTTCTCCTCCAGTTATCACAGTCTTTATCTATGAGCTCTCTCTCCCCTCTCCTCTCTCCAGGTTAACGTTGGTCTGACGCTGCTCAGCCTGCTCGCCTTCATCCATCCCCTCTCTGTCTACCTGCACTGTCGAAGACTTTCCTCCCAGCGAGCCAAGATCAAAGCCTCCTCTTAAAGTCTGTAAAATGACTCGTACCTATTATCACCAGTGAAGCTGTTACCTCTTCAGTTTGTTTGATTAATCGTGTGTTGTGTTACCACATGTATGCTAGTTGGAAAGCAACATGAGGTGCTTGTAAATGCATTTCAGATTATAGTGAAGAGCAATTTAAAGTGCAGTCCTAGCACCTTTGCCACACTCTTAGAGCATGTCTGCAGCCAAACTGAATGTATCTATAATAATTATTTTATTAATTAAAAGCTTCTGGTGTGCAGACTGCTGCGGTTGACCCTCCGTATAACGCTTTACCCCTTGTGAGATTTCCAGGATACGTCATTTTATTTTCACAGAGTAATCTGATGCATTAATGCAATCTTTTTACACTCACTACTATAGTTAGAGTGATGCTGAGTTGTTCCCTACAGCATCTCAGCACCTAGTTACAATCTTTGTTCTTTATGGAAACCCACTGTTTGTTTGTTTTGTTTGTTTTGTTTACAGTTAAAATTACTGGTGCTGGCTGCTCTAATTCTACTTTTCCATGACTGTGACATGTCTTATGTTACTTGTTTTATCTAAGTTCATGTATTCGTGTCATTTTTTTTATATTCTGTGTAATACTAACCACACATTACACCGTGGTTATGGTGGTTTCAGAGTGCCAAAAGATAACACACATTGTTGTAAAAAGACAACATTACAGATGTTGTTGATATCAGTGTGGACCTCTTGAAGTGATCTCTCTATATACATAGTTTTCTATCTTATAACACAGTATAGGACCAACAATGTTTAGTGTAGTGACTGAATGAGGGACAATTGGGGGTCAAATATCAATATGTGTTGTTTTACTTGGACGGATCAGTGACAGTGTAAAAAATATGCACTCTTTGGTATAACAACTGCTCAGTAAGGCCCGTCTGTTAGGACAAAGGCCCTGTTTGCTTGCTGACATGACACCGATGTCTCTGTACTGTTTGCTGTACCATGTGAGTTCATTCAGATACATTGAATAGAGCAAGAAACAGCTCTGCCACCTGCTGGCCTCTTAGTTAGCGACTAATATCACTGTTGTGCCAAACATTACAGTAAAATTATGTATTTTATGTTTTGGTTGTATCCAACAAATGAAGTCTCAGGTAATCAATGTGTCTGTGTAGTTCAGAAGAAGAAGAAGTAATGATATGTAAAGGATTATAAAGGGAAATATTTTCTTCAGTATGTTTACATTTGAGGTTGACTGTGTATTTTACTGCAGTGCCAAGCCTCAAGTGGATGTAACGTTGTTGAAATGTTAAAATAAATATGCAAACTGTTTTTATTGTGCTGCAACACATGAAATGTACCTTTTAAAATGAACTTAAACAGTTAAAGGGAATTATTGAGTTTTAAAATTTACTTTTGCCCAAATAAATGTTTCAGTTTTAAGTATTGTATTGTGAGAAACATTCTGTATTTCCAGTCGACTGCCTATCATGGTATAGAAGTTACAATGCAAATGTTTCTAGTAAGAAGATATTTAAAACATAAATGAAACAACTCCAGAAGCTGTATGATGTACTCATTGACTTACAAATATGCAACTATATTAGAATAAACATTAAAGTTACATTTACAGACTGAACCATGAATTCCCCCTGTTTGTCTTTGGTGTGGTGTATTTAATGCAATATCAGCTGCACAAGGTTGTTATTGTTAGAATTCGTTTTGCATTATAAGCAGCTGTTTAACTATTATCTCTTGTAACCGCTGATTTAGGGTTCAGTTCTAAGATTATTCTGACACATAATTTATGTCCATCAAAAGCAGAAACATTTATTGTGTTCACCTGCTGATGAATTAGAAAATTAAGTTGCAAACACAGATAACAAGATGCTCTCAAGTATATTAATTTGTAGATTGAAGTGTATCATGACCAACCATGACAAATTAAAGGGGCACTCTACAGAGTTTACATACCAACATCAGTTTACTCACTGTAAGGTCTGAAATTGTCTCACAGGGTTGTGAGATGACAAAGCCTGCATTACAAACTCTGCTTGTGGAGTATGAAAGACATTTATCTAGATGCTACTGAGTTGAATTATAGGAAATTTGTAGATTGAAAGTCAGGATATCTTGGCCTCTGCTGCACAGATAGATTTATTTTACTTATTTATAGATTTTATTTTAAAATCTGTCCCCCAGCTTTATTTATTAAATCATTTTCACGTCTTTATTTTACTTCCCTAAAAAAAGTCCAGTGACGGTTAAGTCACATCTTGCATAATATAATGTGGTTTCAGAAACAAAAAAAAAACAAGAAGAATACCAGTTATGAAACTTTCTCTCGGGAGACACAGGAGAGCAATTGGTAGGAGGGACAGCAGCTGACTCTACATTACTTGACAAAATAAAAAGAGATGAATTAGTCCATACAACTGAACAAAGGATTTAACGTGGAACGGACACCTTGTTAAAGGGAAATTCCACCTATTTTACGCAATAATCCGTTTACAGTTCTGCATATGTGGAAAAAATGTGGGGAAAGTGTTTTGTGCCTCCAGAGGGAGCTGAGTGAAAACTCAAGTGATGTCACCTGAGTCAGTGTCGGCTGAGGCTGAAGACAAACATACAATCTTGGGGAGTGGAGTTAATAGTCAGTGAGCTTACCAGACCTCTGTAGTCTGTTCCTCAGCTTTGCTTGAGGCAAATGGCTGCAGGCTACGTTAGCAGCTACTAGCACGCTATACCTGAATCTCAGACCTGACTCAGTGGCCGAGTTGCATTGTGGGTAATGTAGGGGCCAGGTGTTGAGGAGGAAGAAAATTGTGTGGAAAAAACAAAGGTGATATGTTTGGTTTTGCTGCATTGGTTGCATTATATATTTTCAAACTGTGAGTCGAACAATGTTGCAGGATCACGGTGCTAAATCAGTAAATAACTCTTTTAATAGAAAGCTGCAGGATTCACAGCAGCCTCAGACTCACAGTCTGGTGTCTCAAGTCATACTGAGAGTCTTGGCAGTCTAGGTAGGAGTTGCCATGTTGTTACAGATAGCAGTGGACAGGTTTCACATGGGGCAGAATCGTCTGGGGGGAAAGTTCTGGCAGGGTTTAAACCTGAAATAACAGGGACACTCCCCCACAACAGCCTCTCTCAAGTTCTCTGTAGTCCTGCTGTGTGACAACCCAGTGAGAACCAAAAAAATCTTAATGCAACTCCACAGAGTCTCTCACATCCAGTGTGTGTGTGTTTGTTTGTGTGTGTGTGTGTGTGTGTGCAGGGAACATGTGCATGGTGACAGGTTCTTCCCTTGCATCTGCGTCATCGATGATCACAACCTCAGTATCTCGGCAATTCAATAAAAACAAGTGTATGACAGAAATAGGAGTGAAGGCGTGAGGAATGGAGGATAAAAATAAGCAAATCTGTTAATGAGGTGATTTGTTATGTGGTTTCTGGGTTTTTTTAATCAGACTGAATCTGTCGCAGGGACTGAGGATGTCTTTATGACACACAGATTTGACAGGCTTACTCAAACTGTGGCAACTAACTGTCTGTTCTGTTTGACTGTAGCAACAGGAGGAAAACTGTAATGGCCTCAGTTTATCTGCCTCAATGTGCTGTTTTCCATCTGTTATCGTGGGAAAGCAAATGATCTCTGTTTAGTGTTACTGCTCATAACCAAGCACAGCAAACTGCTTAAGACCAATAAACACAGTGACCTTTATATTTCACTTGACTTTAATTCCTAATAAGGCATAAACAATGAATTACATTATATGAAAGTATGTGTACTTTTGGTCTAGGGATGTTTTTTGTTCCAGCGATGGAAAGCAGGGCCTTTTTTCTGCATTATGAGTAGTTTTTACAATGTGGTACTGCTACTTTTACTTAAATCCATTTACTTCATCCACCACTGATTAGTTCTAATTAAGGGAAATATTCATGCTACATCATATAATGATGTTTTAAAGGTGTAATATGTAAGAATCTTAATTGAACTTTTAACAAACATTCAAAAATGAACTAAAATAATCAACAGAATGTGAAGAAATTACAGTTTTGACTCTATGTCAAAGATGTTTATGTATTCTGTTGCAGACATATCTACGGAAGTTAGCATGCTAACAAGCTATCCTCGGCCCGTCCTGTCTCATAATACCTGTAGTGTCACTGTAGCATCCTCATTCCAACAACACTGAGGTGGACTGACCCCGCTTGTAACCCCCACTCAGGCCTCTGCAAGTGGCCGCTGACCAACCTCCCCTTCCCTCCTCTCCCACTTCATGCCTCTCTTGTTCCTGCCTGTGTTCCTCCCACCCCAGGCCTGAAAACCTTGTCAGTCACATAGACAAATGTACAGCTAATAGGACCACTGGCTGCATGGCTAACTAAACTAAGTAGCTATGTTATCAGGCCTTTATTATCCAACATCAGTGTTGGACATGGTTCCAACAACTTGCAGAAAGTATTCCCAGAAAAGTGGAGGCTGTTATAGCAACATATTAATGCATAAAGTTTCTCCTCCCATTTCCCACATGTGGAGTTTTCCTTTTTTTTTAAATTGAGGGTCTGTGGAAAAAGAGTGTGAGGCTTTGAGGCAAATTAGTGATTTGTGAAATAAAACTGACTTATATTCAATGATGTTCAGCAATCTCATATGGATGTGGTGTTCACATATTATTGGCTATATAGTGTATCTTTATCTCACCTTTTCTCCCCTTTTCAGTGGCTACTAGTATTAATACAGCACACACAGCCACAATCTAGGCTTCTCTTACATTGTCTCTTAATTTTTAAACTGGAGTTAAATGGAATTTCAGTTACGTGATGTAAAATTTTACCTGTCCCAGGATGAAAAATCAGGGGGGCGAGAAGGCTCAACTTTACTGAAAAAATAACCCACATACAAGAAATAATGAATTCTGACACCCACATTTCATTTATCTACAATTGTGACCCTAAAAAGGCGTGTATTTTAATCGTTTGCAAATATGAACTTTACACAGAGATGCTTCTCTTCTGACACTACAACTAAATATCAGATGATTCATCATCTTGTTAACAAAGTCTTGTCAGACCTTTACTGTCCCAAATGACACCCACATTTTGTCTGATTCATACACTTCTACACATTTCAATCTCACGCCGCATTTAATAGCTTGGATTTTGAAGAATGTGAAAAACTTTGGCATTTAATTACCAGCCGGCACCGAGATCCTGGGACTTGACAACCATGCACTGTTTTACCATGCAGTCACATTTCAGGTGAAATAAAAGTGTACTGTTTCACATGAACATATCTCAACTGGGCAAATTGTGCAAAATCTGTGCAAAGTTCTCTGCAGCACGAAAAGAAACATAAAGAAAACTGAAGAAACTTATAGAAAGTAAATTTGAGAAGGAGATCTGTGTGTCAAAAAACACTTCAACGCTCAGTTTTAACAGAACTCAAGGCCAGCTTTCTCGCCTGTTGACCCTGGTACACCCAACCACACACTGTGTCTGCACACAAGGTCTTCAGCACTGTGTGTATGTGTGAGTGGGGGTAATGGACAGAGTCAGCAACACGTTTTTTTAGGATCAGGCCAGATCCTTTGAACATGCTGTGTTTACACCAGTTCAAATGCCAGCGTGCCGTGATTCACTTTGACACAGCAGGGTAGTGAGAGAATGTAAGGGAGGGGATCTGGGAATGGAGATGTGTATGTGTGTGTATGTTGTTGTGACATACATTTATGCATTTTTTCCCTGCTTCAATTACACACACACACACACTCCCACAGCCTCACTGAAGATGGAGTCTGCTTGGTGAGCTGGCTGCCTCCCCCAGTTATCCTGGGGCCAAGAACAGTGTGAATACATTATATGCACAAACACAAACACGCGACCTTATCTTTCCCACAGCCCCCCCGTGGGGGGCAACTAATGCCTGACTGTTGAGCTGTCTGCCTCCCCAAATTACTACACAACAACAGCCAAGAAACAGTGTGTTTCCAGACGCGTAATTTAGGCCCCGCACTGCGATCACAGCTTGGAGTTGCAGATGACCTTCCATGGAGCAGGTTTTGGTGAGTGTGTGTTCACTTGGGAACAGATGATGTGCATCATGGTGGACCTGGCTTTGACCTATGTCATAAAGGGAGGACTCAGTAGTGAGTAAACCCAGCCCACCCCTGTCCCGGTTTATTTCACATGCAGAAGACCTCCATGTCCTGTCCCACGTCCCACCCACATTTTCTCCAGAAAACAATTTGCACTGAAGCCAACGTATAATGAGACTGAAACTAAGAATTATTCAATCACATAGTGTCCTTCATCTTCAGTGTCTTCATCTTCGCTGTCTTCATCTTCAGTTTCAGCGCAAAGAGTCTACAGCATCCTCCATGGCCATGTTACTTCTGTCCATTACAACATTTACAGTGAAGCCATCTTACATTTCAGAGTATTTGTTGGTGACATCTGTAACTGGACGTACAGTATGTGGTGTCCTATTGAAAAAAAAGAGTATTGGTGACATCTGTAACTGGACGTACAGTATGTGGTGTCCTATTGAAATGTGTCAGTGGTATGTCATCTCTCCTCCTGAGTCCATATGCTGCGTTAGATCATTTCGCTCCACCGCTGGGTTTCCCTTTCATGTTCATCTGTTGTTCTGAATTGTAGGCGGCTCTCGGCTCCTTTCCAAACTGGCCTACACTAAATGAGGCAGATGATTTTTTGGCTTTAATGCCAAATGAATTTTCCCACCTCTTGTCCTCCTCCTCCTCCAGCCCCCTTGTGAGAGTCCATGTGCCACGGCAGAGCCACACAAACGCAAACACCCTTTCCCAGAAACTCTTTGTTGTTGTCACCAAATTAAATAATAAAAAAAAAATATTATAAGAAGAGTTGCCTTATCAAAATGGAAAAGTATATTTTGGTCATGTTCAGAAAGGAACTGAAACATTTACTGAGATACAAAAGATGGTGCCATGAATTACCTCATAATGAGTAATAATCAGTATAACAATCACACTGTTGACAGTCAATGAAGCCGTTTTTAGGTAACTCCACAGTGAAGTCAAACCCGCCCTGCCACTGCCTTTCTTGTCGTTTCCTCCGGTGACTGTCACCCCTCCTCCTAGGCAGGCTGACGTAGTGAGGATCCTCTGCTGCCCACGGGTGTGGGCGACGAACCGGCTGAGAGTATAAACGGCTTCCCGGGACTCCAGTCCGTCACTGCTTGAAGCGGCAGCAACTCGGTCACCAGAGCTGAACCTCAGCAGAGATAGCAGCAAGCAGGCACTTCCTCGCCACGCAGGCTAACTCGCTTTCGGCTTTGGTTCGAGATGGAGACTCGTAGGTCCGTGAAGGGCTCCAGCGCCCACAACCTCAAGAGTGAGTACCTCTCCAGTTTGCAGTTTGAGTGCACTGATGGTGTTTGATTTTGCAATGCATTTCTGTGATTGAATTGCAGCTTTTCACTTGCTAGTGTGCACTTCTCAAGATTCAAACAAGTGGTTTGAGGATTCATTTTAAACTTTAAAATCACAGTAATATTTCCATACTCAGCAGCCTTGTATTTCTGTAGAAAACAGCTGAGTTTATAGCCTATACTTTATTATGCTTTTGCGCACTGTCATGTTGCATCTATTCTTAACTATTTACCAAAAACGTGGGTTACACACTGTTCAGAATCCATTTAATTGTGTGTTTGTCAATTATGAATGTTAGAAAGTGAGCGTTAGAGAGTGCGCACTTTTGGGGCATTTTTACGCAAAGATTTGGCAGCAAAAGCTCGAGAAAAAACCTAAGTGTGAATTTATGTGTTATATTATCGTATTTATATGAAAAGTAATTTACAACAGTGACCAGAGTTAGTTCACATGTTTTGGCTTGTTTATCCAATCTCTCCATATCTCCTTTACGCATGGAGAGATGCAGATACGGTTTATGCGCGCATGTTTCTGAACTTTATTCCTCGTCTCATGGTGACTTTGGGGTAAATAAGGCTTAGAAGATTCTCGAAAGGTGTCTTATTCCGCTCAAAAGCTCCAGTTCTCTCTCAGCGTCCAGAGCAGCTAATAGTCCAACTTGTTAAGGGGTCAAGAGGTGAGCCGCTGGAAAATCTTGCGCACAGCAGATGAATGGGAAGTTCATTATTATTTCATCCATGTACTTTTCCCGTGGTGGCCACTTTTGTGCGCCGTTATCCGAGCTGTGCCAAGAAGCTGTTGCAATATTGATAAGAACCGAAACTGATCCGGCTCAGGTTGCCGGTTTTACGCGTGCCCTCTGCAAACCTCTCAACGGAAACATCCTTTTGATAGCCTGAGAACTAGGAAACCAGGTTAACTTAATGCAAAGAGGCACGTGAGATTCACGTTTTTTGTGTTTTTTAAAGTACTTTATGATTTTTCTTTCTGTTCTTAACTGATGAAGTCCATAGTTATGTAACATTGTCACAACAGCCATGAAGACCTATGTAAAGTGATCTGGTGGATATGAATGGGTGAATGATTTCTGTAATGTAATCTGGTGAATTATATATGAAACCCAAAGTTCTGGGAACCATCAACAAGTCACGGGTGAAAGGACAGCAGTGTTAAAAGGAATCACTGACAACAGCAACAGGTTTGACAGACAGACAGCAAAGAAAGACTGGTGCCAAAAGCTGAAATCGACCTCTCTTTATTTGTCTGTCTCTCTGTCTCTTTGCTGCTAACCTGAACAATTTAGTTTCTTTTCTTCTGGTGATAATTAACGTCCTCTCTTTCTCTATGTCTTTCCAGGTGGACTGTGTCTATGGCTGATTCTGTGGCTGGTGGTGGTGAAGCCGGGCGGGGTTGGAGCATGCCCTAGACTGTGTGTGTGTTACCCTACGCCCATGACGGTCAGCTGCCAGTCCCAGAACCTCACCATAGTGCCGGCTGGCGTTCCCTATGACTCACAACGTGTTTTCCTGCAGAACAACCGCATCACAGAGCTTCGCGCTGACTCTTTTGGCTTCGAAACACAGGTAAAAATGGCAGTGTGTGTTTTTGCATCTGTTGAATTCCCCAGCAATATTTTCAGACATTTTTAATAGTCTTTTTTTCTCCTCTCTCATCCCATTTATTTTCTCTTCGTTCTGTGCAGGTGCTTTGGTTATATGGCAACAACATCACATGGATTGAGGCCGGAGCCTTCAGTAACCTCAGGGTGCTGGAGGAGCTTGATCTGGGCGATAACCCGCTGCATCGCCTGGAAGGTGGAGCCTTCAGGGGTTTGGAGAGGCTGCAGAGCCTGCACATGCATCGCTGCAAGCTGGCCACTCTCCCCCATGACCTCTTCCACAAACTGTACAGCCTGCAGTTCCTCTACCTGCAGGTAAATCCAGCATACACACACACAAACCTAAAAACACACACATGCAAAGATTTATATTTCATAGTCATGAGTAGGTACACATGATGCTGCAGGAAACACACAGAACTAGTTTATGGACATATCAGTCAGTTGCCAACCTGTGGGCTGCACACCCACACATGCTTTCATACTGTGCATATTCATGGATTGTTCAGTGTGGTAGGTTCAGTGAATTGCACACAGCAGAGAAAAGAAAACTGAGAATATATATATATATATAAGTGAATATCGAAACGCCCATAAGATTTCGAACCAAAGATACACAGCAACAAGAACAATTAACACGTTTCAACAGTTGAAAAACAACAAAATTTAATTTAATTTTAATTTCTGTTACCATCCTTTTATTAATCATGAATTCTCTCAGACTGATTACAGTAGCAAAATTACACAGAATGATCAGATTTAGCAAAGCTGCCAAACCTCCATGCACATATAAAGAGTGTATAATACACAAAAGGGAGCATGTGCCCACACATTCCCTCTCAGCAGCAGTTGTAGCTGCAAGTCATATGAAACACAATTATTCGATATAACTCTGGCAACAGTCTCACCGGAGGATAGAATGCTAGAACATTTCACCAAAACGTCAAGCTATTATATAGAGGGAAAACTCTATTTACTTTAGAAATTCCACCTGCCGCTGGGCGAATACTAAACAATAACAATAAAACCATGTTTTACCACAAAAAAATACTTGGCTAAGTTCTAAGCTTTATTGATATCACACTCAATACCAAACAGACTAAAGGAATACTGTGGTTGCTTGGTAAAAGTAATGTTATTTTCCACAGTACTAAACCTTCTTTTGTTTTCACTTTGCTCCAGGACAATCAGCTCCACTTTCTGCAGGATGACCTCTTCTCAGATCTGGTCAACCTTACCCATCTTTTCCTGCATGGCAACCGCATCCGTGCCCTCTCTGAGAATGTGTTCAGAGGCCTGGTCAACCTGGACCGCCTCCTTCTCCATGACAACCGCATCAGGCAGGTAAACCGTCGGGCTTTTCGTGACCTGGGACGCCTGACCATCCTTTATCTGTTCAACAACTCCCTAGCCGAGCTGCCAGGCCAGGCCATGAAAGACACCCAAGGCATCCAGTTCCTCCGCCTCAACGGAAACCCCTGGTCCTGCGGCTGTGAGGCTCGCCCCCTCTGGGAGTGGTTCCGCAAGGCCCGCATCTCTTCCTCTGAGCTCATGTGCACCTCCCCATCCCAGCGTCGTGGCCAGGACCTCAGATTTCTCCGGGAGCTGGACTTCGCCCTCTGCCCTCTGCCTGACCCCGGCTCTCTGGCTGGAAGCACCACAACCACCTTCAGCACCAAGACCCGCTGGTGGTTCTCCAAGAACAAGCCTGCATCTTCATCCAAGTCATCATACCAGAAGAGCACAGACACGGTGAAGGCCTTCCCCTTTTCCGCCATCAAGCCACAGTTCCTCCCCAAAACCCCCTCCGAAACCATCTCTGCCAAGTATGAACTGTCGGAGGATGAGGTGGCGCTCCCCAAGCTGGACCAAGAAGAATACTGGGCCAACTACGGCAACGAAGACGCCTCCATCCGCTGCTTCGAGCTGGAGTGCCCCCCAGGCTATGACCCAGCCTTCCCCTCATCTTCCTCCCTACCCATCACCCCATCTCTCCTCCACCTCCTCACCCTCTCCATAGTCACATTCACTCTCCATTTTCTTTTTGGCTGAATGAATTCTCCCCTCCACACCCCTTTTTCTCCTCCAATTTCTCCCCCTACTCTTTCTAACTCTAACAAAAACCTGGATCTCGGTTCCTTTCAGTTACCTCCTCAAGTTGCAGGGGGTGCTACACTGACACAGGAGACAGGCAAGGCAGCGAGGAGCTGTTTTCAAGAGCAGAGATCAGTTCATATAGAGCAGGACAGGATTTCAGTGTTGAAGTAGCTGCTGCTAAGTAGTACAGGCTTTAAAAAGCAGTGATCACATCGTCGATAGTGATAGGTACAGTACAATGGCAGAAACCTACAACAACATCATGAAATGACAGAGACATAACTCACAGACAGCCGGTGGTGTCTCCAGATGTTTTTTGATATCACAGCTGTAAACAACGCAGGCGTTGTGACTCGTCTACAGCTATTTTCTATATCAGCTAGTGCTCACTATCCAATCACCGTTAACATTATCCCTCACTAATATATTTCTTTCACAGTGAATAATAGTGGTGATTATTAATGATAGGCTATTTGGCACTACCAGAAGAAAGGTGCGGATTAACACAAATGATGAGGGGCTTGGAAGGAGAGAAAAGAAAAATACAGAACTAAAGGGAGGAGTGAAAAGAAAAGTGAGCAGAGTGAGCTTTAGATACTCATCTAAAGGCAGAAGAGGATGAGAGGATCATTAGATCCGCAGCCAAAAGTGACTCTCCTCCCTCCTTCGGATTCAAAATCTTGTGTGATCCCAGAGATGCCAGCAAACCACCACCCACACTTGTACATACCACACATCATCACTGTACATACACCCATCGCAAAGTGCTCTGTAATTTAGACTAGCTGGATTTTTACTTTTCATTTTAGTACCATTTATTTAACGACAGCTTGTGGTGATAGAAGAGATACTTAGATAGTAAATTGAAGGCAAACTAATTAGATGTGGAAACAACAACCTTTCTGTTATCCAGTCTTATCCCTTCCTCCCTCAGACAGCCTAAAAAGTTGTTTCCCAAAAAGTGATGAGATTAAACATATCAGTACAAGCAGATAAATAATAGATGCTCACTAACTAAAAAGGGAAGGCTTGTACTCCAGATTGAGATTGTTTGTGTGTGTGTGGTTCAGTTTTTGTTGTGTGAGTGGGATTGGACTGTTGTAGACTAATAACCAAAGTCCTGAGTAGACCAGTTTGATTAGGTCTCTTCTTGAAATGAGTGCCTGTGTGTATTGCCTCTGTCTGTTTGTCTTTCTATCTTGTCTTTCTGTTGGTTAGTCTGGATTTCCAACCGGATACAGAAGATGGTGAAAACAACACTAGGGCTGAATCCTACAGAGCTCTTGTGTAGTTTGAAGCCTCAGGTCTCTGTCCGGGTGGCTCCTGTTACATTACACTTTGACCTGCAATTTGTCTCCATCAGAGTGACTATGTGTGTGTGTCTGTACAAGGATGTGTGTATTTCTTAACTGACAGTTGAAAAGTCCCATTATGCACGTGTCTCAAGGACCCAAAACTGTTTCTAAAATGTGTAGTTTCAGAAGTGCATGAGGATCTGTGTTATTGTTTTACTATTTTCTGAACAAATTAGGTCAATCCGAGGGTTTCATCTGATTTCAATCATGTATATTTGTATTTTATGGCACTACAGATCAGACAATCAAGCTGTTATGCATAAAACCATTATTCATTAGAGAACCTTTCCTCCACTGTGTGATTTTGGAAAATGGGATGGGTATTTACTCAGCAATCTGTTCAACACAATGCCAATCCAACCTGTTTGTGATCTGCATTATTCATGATCCTTGTCAACCCCATATGTTAATAAGCCCATGCTGTACCAATCAACCCTGAACCGTGACTGTGAGTTTCCGCATAGAACATGAAAGATACTGTGATGCTGTTACTCTGTATTTTTCAATGGAAAATCGAGTGTGTTTTGCTTTGTTAAAAAATAAAGAAACAATCAAACAAAAATGTTCTTTGTTGTTTCACTGTCTGTTCACATAGGAATAGAAGCACAAACACAATGTACACAGATGAAAATAGATAGAAACCTTGACATACTGATACATTTGGTTGAGTGTCAAAGCATAAAGGTGATGGTATTCTAGCCCTGTAACAATAAATTAAAATTTTCAATCAATAGCTTACTGAACATAACTTTTACAAAGATAACAGTTTCCACTTTCACACTAAAAGCACAGTAATATTCTATAATTATTATGAATGAGTGTTGTCAGTCTCATTAGAGCATAGTCTTTAATTTTGACATCTGATAGCTTTCGGCAAATAAGTCAACAATGAGGAAAAAAGTTTTAAAAGAATCATGTAATAGTGCTTCTGTCAAACCTCTAAGAAAAGGGAGGAGGTGGTAATGTGGTTGTGTGTCTGTGTGTGTATGCAAGTGTGTGAAGTGTAAGAAATCATGTGACAGTGTGAGCGTGTTTAGTGAAGGTCAGTCTCGCCCCAATCACTTTTCTCACCATGTGCAGAAGGCAGCTATATTCGGCCATATTATGCAGAGAGATGGGTCGATGAGCTGTCCAAGTGTAGTGTGTGTGTGTGTGTGCTTGGTTTCATGGGGTTTGGGGGGGCGGTATACTGAGGTATGATTCAGGGAAGGGGCAGAATGGGGAAAACGCCAGGATGAAAATGTGACGATGTGTCCCAGAATCAGTACACCCCCTCAACAGACTAACTCTCACCATAATAATGATGGTGATACATACACTCATGCATGTGTTTGCAAGTGCAAAGACACATAGACATACATGTACATGTGCAAATACACACTAACACAATCAAATTAAGTTCAGAGACGTTTGGTTCAGAGGCTTTCTAATCTTTTTTGTCTTCCAGCTCATTATTCATCACTTTCACACCTTACTTTGCTCTCACCTTTTCTTCTTCCTCTTTTCTCTCCTTTATTTTTCTCCTCTCTGTGACGACAGTTCCCTCCCTCCTTCGAGTCAGAATCTGCAGGAGATAAATCATCATCATAAACCCACATACATTATTGTAGGTACTTAACAGAAGTTTCCTTTCAGAACTTTTTATTTCCTCTGCTCCACATTTTTTTCAGTCAAATTTTACATGCACATTTTTACCTTAAAGAAGCTGTATTTAATGCTGAGACTGAGACAACAAACTGCCATAATTCATAGAGGGAAATTTAGCACACTTGGGTGGTAAACCTCAGTGTATCTATGTTGTTAATAAATCCATTAGAGTTTTGGAAATGTTATGAACCAGTGTCATAGAGGTTTGGTTGGGGTATTATCCTGTGATTGGCTGCAGAAGCAGCAAAGTTTAAAAAATCCTTGTTGTCTCCCAATCTAGCAGTAAAATCTGCCCTTTGTGTCAGCATCAAGATCTTACTGCTAAAAACAGCCAGACTAAAAGAGTCTACATGCTAGCAACGTTAGGTTGTCTTGAGGGACTTAATGAGAATGTAATGCCATCAATGCTGTGTGGTAAGAAACTCGTTTTTCACAACTAAAAATACTCGCCGTCTTCCCCTACAACATGCTACTGCTACTATTCACAGTTATTTCTCTTTTCACCCCAAACTACTGTAATACTGACTATTACAAGTTTACACCTGCTGCCTGCTTTGTAGCTTGGCAACCTGGGAAATGTGGAAAATTGCTGATAGAAAAAGTAGATTGAAGGAAACACTGTTTTGTGGGCATACCACCACAGATGTGTTGACACTTTATTATGATATAAGGCAACCTAGAGACGGAGTTTGTCTTAAATGCCAGTGTGTTTGTGCTTTTGTATTAGTTTGCTTGATAACATGCTAATAAAATGATTCTGGCAGCCGGTTAACAAGCACAAAGACTGGAAACAGGAGGAAACAGCTAGCCTGTCTCCGTCCAGTGGTAACTAAATCTGCCTACCAGCTCTTCCAAGTTCGCTAATTGACACGTTGTATCTTGTTGTATCAGTACAAAAACTGAAGTTTAATAATGAGATTTTGTTGTTGTTGGGGACGGCTAGCTATTTCCTCGTTTCCAGTCTTTGTGCTAAGCTAAGGTAACCAGCTTCTAAAGGTTTCATAGTTACCATACACACATAAAGGCAGTTCAATCTTCTCATTTAACTTTCCACTAGAGAGAAAATGTGTGTATTTCCTGAAATCTCAGACTTCTGTTTTAAAGGCCCAACATGTAACATTTAGGAGGCTCTCTCAGCAGAAATAGAATATAATATTCATATGAATGTTTCCATTAGTGAATAATCACCTGAAAATAAGAACTGTTGTGTTTGTGTTACCTTAGAAGGAGCTATTTGTATCTACAGAGGGAGCGGCTCCTATTCCATGGAGGCTGCCATGTATAACCGCCATGTTTCTTCAGTAGCCCAGAACCGACAAACCAAACATTGGCTCTAGTTTCTTGTGTGTTTTGCAGCCACTAAAGTTTCTCTTGCGTGATTAGAATGGGAGGACGAGGCGAGGGGGTTCTAATCTGCAATATGCCACTAAATCTTATGCACTGGTCCTTTAAGGATATTTTAAAACGAGCATGACCTCAGGCAGTCAATGCTTCCAGCAATAGTAAAAACAATATTGGGTTCAGACTTTTCATAGACATGTGACTGGGAAAACATGAAAAGCAGCATTGGCCTACTTGTCTACTACAAAAGCTTTTGCAACAGTTACATGAATGGTGACCACAAAGACTTTATATTATTAATTCATTTAAAAATAGCATCTTTGAATTTACATTATGTAAAAAGACATTTACTCAGGGTCATAATTTCACACCATTGTGCAGCTGGCAGTAATGGAAGACTGTCGATATCCCCTCTCAGCTTTTCCTCTGTTACCCACCTCAGGAAATGCACATCAAAAACTTTAATCGTGACCAATGTGATTACTCTATGCATACTTCCAAGTTGTTGTTTTCCTGGCAGCACTGTAGGCGTTTGCCCTCTATGCGTGAAAGCAGCTGCCTGGGTGGTCATGGGACACATTTACAGTTTTTCCGGTGCAGGAACACAACCAGGCCATTAGCAGAGAGAATGCCTCTGAAGTCGTCAGACTTTGATGATGTGCGCTTATCACGTACTGTGCCCACTCATTCTCCCCCAACTCTCTTATCATATTTTCTTGCCTCTGCTTGTCTTCCTCTCTTTTGTATGTTTGCCTGCCTTTCATATGCTGTCACTCAGCCATTGTTTGAACCCCTATCACTCCAGCACTCCTCTCTCTCTCTCTGCCTGTCACACAGTCTCCCCCACATGGTTATGCTTGCCTTGGCCAAGCCTGTGCATTGGCTCATATGAGTTGGCGTGCTTGCTTGCGTGTCATCAGCGTGTTCACTGACGCTCACCATCACACATGTCTTATTTGCAGAGAACAAACCGAGACTCGCACCCTGACGTCAGAGGACCCGTGATGGAAGCTGAGAGAGACTTACAGGAAGATGAAATGGATTCTTTCACTCCCACTTCATACTGAGTGTTCACATTGAAAGAACAAAACAGAAAAGATGTCTTTTCTTGACATTATACACGAGAATATGTTCATAACTTCAGTATGACAATGCAGTGGTGCAGACATCCATAATTGATGAACATCATTTGCAGCACTGTTGCAATGACCAGCTCCTGTTGTTCAGTACGTGGAAACGTGCTGAACTCATGGAAACATGAGACTGCGGGGCATTGAACCTCTGCTCCTGATAAGTCGTCAAACAGAAGAGAGAGGAAAAAGAGTCAGGCAAAATAGGGGGATGAGGAGATCCTCTCTCCAGCTAAATAAATAATTTTGAGTGGAAACACTGACTACTCTCATATAAACAGTGAGACTTTGCTATGAGTTCACCAACTAAGTCCCAGTGTCATTGGATAAAGACCAGGCGTTTACCAAAAGAGCATCAGGGGGAAACCTCTTAAGTATTTACAGAATGCCAAAAACATAAGAAATAGAAAGTTATTGCTTTTACGAATATAATTTCCCTCTGGGATTATTAAAGTATTTCTGATTAACTCTTTTAAAATACAGTTTTATTATGTGCAACAGTTTTTTAAAAAGGTTTGCATAACCGCAAAAGCCTGGAGACTCAAACCGTAGTAGTTCATATAATTCTTCAAGCCAATAAACAAAATTGAAGCTACATTTATTCAAAACGAACTGATTATAGTGAAATGCAGAGTTCTACATGGCAGCTTTAAAAGTACACTGTAAAATATCCAGTGCTGGAAGTAGAAGTAGTCTGATTGTAAAAGTAACAACACAACAATGTAAAAATAATAATCTAAAGTAAAAGTCCACCATTCAAAATCCTACTTAGGTACAGAAGCGAAATGTTACATACAACAACCACATTATTTGCTTTTTAATATGTACGTAAACATAATGTTACAGTTGCTGTTGGTCAAGATGAAGTTATGCATTATATAAAGTCAGGTCTCCTTATTTAGCCCAGTGATTCCCAGCCTGTGGGTCAGGGTTTCTTCAAAGTGCCACAAGATAAGTGATGAGTTTTATAATGTAAATACATGAGTTTTGATTATTTTAAGTATTTAAATAAATTTTAAGTTGAGTCAACTTTTCTTACATTTTCTAGACTTTCCAGCATGTATGGTTTGAGTTTTAAACCTCTCCAGAGACGTTGGAAACCTGCTGTGTGTCATTTACTGAAATGATTCCCCAACTTTTTACTTAAGGGCCATACATAATCATACATAGTTGATAGACTTCTTTTTTGACAAATTCAGTGTTTAATTCTCATTGTTTTATTAGCTCTTCGGTTGTTTTAACTATATGCAGGATAAGGCTGTTTGGCAGAGAGTGAAGCTCTGTGAATATAGCAGGTCTTCACTGTGTTCTTCCTTTTTTTTAAATTTCTATCCCATATGATAGTCTAATCTTTTTTTTTAAAAGTTTTATTACATCCCTTCAGATCAAGAAGGCTTTTGACCCCCCGGTTGGGAACCACTGTTTCACTGTGATGTGTGAGCAGCCTCTCATATATTATCTTTGTACCAACTCTGGTATAAAAGTGGCTCTTGCAGGAACATGTACAGCATAAGGAAGTAATGGACTCTTGAACCTGAGTCAATGTAACTACAAAATCTGTCTGTGATATATGTCAGTGTGACTAAACAGTCGTTGATCCAACTTAATATATTAAGCTTATTGAACTTGTTTGCTCAACACCAGTGAACTTAACTAATTCCATTATAATGGCCCATGAGCCAACTTTGAATTATTCATGTTTAGTTAGGCTAACTAACTTTCAAGGCAGCAGTGGCGCTTGTGTTTTGTGTGCTTCACAGATTTAGAATCATTTAAAGAGGAAGAAGATTAATTGATTATCAAACAATTAAACCTACTTTTATCAGCTGGATAGCCCTAAAGTAGATAAGATGCTGTAGCTGAGAGCAGCAAACATAACAAAAAGACTTGAATTTATGAATGAAATATTCGCCTTCTGTTGTTGTTGTGTGTACGCACAGAAATATCTGCGTTCATTCATAAGTGTTTGTGTGCGCTTGATCACAGGACTACGCATTGTGTAGGCAACCAAGAATCCTGTGCATCCGGTCTTGAGTCAGTCTGAAGTAAAAGAAGAAAGCGGGGTGAAGACGGGGCACATCTGTTTGACGGTCTGTCCGCTCCTCTGAGGGTTTACGCACACAGCTAAAAATATATTGCAACAGATTGCAAAGACAGATCGGGATCCAAAAAAAAAAGGTAGAGATTTGATGAGTCTTTGTGTCTGGTCGGTTTCACGAAAATGGGACGGACTGAGTGAAAGATTTGAATCACATGGCAAAGACAATGAAAGTAAAAGTGGCCAAGATAAAGAGTGGGTCTTGAGTTTGTTGTTCTCAAGAGAACAAAAGAACCGTGATTAGATGAGCGCTTGTGAGTCAGTCACACCGCCTCGCTCTGGGAGGTTGTATAGCCCTGTTGGCACAGACGCAGCTTGTGACGACAATTTGTTTGAGTGCCCAAAAATGTGACTGCCACATCCACTGAGAAAGACACAGGGGATTCGGTATTGCTATTCCGGTAACACCATATTTGCTCTTCGCTTTGGAGTATTCAAACACATCCGTCTGTTGCTCTGCAGGGTTTTCTCTCGCTTTCTTCCTGTTTGTTTTGGATGCTGTTTTTCAGCTGTCCATCACAAGTCCATATTTGGGGATTATGCGAACAATTAGAGAATTAGGGGACACAACCCTTAGGACCAGCATTCATCTGCCCCAATGTTTGCAGAGGACAACATAGACATCTTCGGTTGGAACAACCAGAAGGGGGATTGATCTGAAGTGTTATCTTCGGTTTTAGGTCTGAATGGGATGACGCAGATATGAGACCAAAAAAAAGTCAGACTCCCATGATTCTGTCAGCGGTCCCAACGTGTCATCTGGGTATCCAAAGTGTTTTCTTTACCATGAAACCTTGTTTAAAATATCTTACGTTACATGCAGCATATGTCATTGTCAAATCATCATTTGTGAAATAATTGCTAGAATCAAAAAAAAAAAAATCCATTGATGGCTGCTTACTCGAGGTCCTTTGTCATATTCATCAGACACGTAAACCCAGAACACCAGCTGGGATGACTTTCCATGGAAGACGCTCTGGTGACCTGCCAGATCTGGGTTTAGATAGGAGCAGAAGCAAATTCTCTGACTCACACAAAAGGTTACATAGTTCTTGAAAACACTTTGTAGCAAATGAAGTTGTCATCAGTTACTGTGATGGATGAATTAGCTAATTATAAATAACCATGCAATAAAATAATGTTGGGGATAAAATAACATATTAAAGCTGAAAGCTTGTTTAACAGTGAGCAGGTTCAGCTGACTGATCTTCATGTAAAGAAAGTTGAAAAGAATAAATCAGACTTCAACCATTATGGTAGCGTGGTAAAAATGTTTCAAAGACATTAATCTGTATCTACTTGAGGTATGATGAATACTCTGTACTACATTTCCCTTAAGGGACCCCTTTTCTATCATTTATTAAAGTGACAACTAAGTGACACATTTTATGGATATTTAATATTGTATTCAAAACTGTACAATTTTAAGCAGATTATTTCCTCACTATGGATATTTTAAAACAATGTCTGTATTGTGTTTTTTTTTTTAAACTTGTTTAACAATCGTATGAACTTAATGTTCACATAAGTGAACCAAATACTGAGATAAAGGCCTACTGCGTATATGTTTTAAGTTTTCTAGCACGCCTTAAAATCAAGAAGGCCTTGCAACCCACTAGGAAGCATTGGCGACCCCTAGTGGGGCTCCCGATCCCCAGGTTGGGAACCAGTGCTGCAGCCTACTTATTATAGGGGGACCCAGAATCCAGATAAAATAAAGTTATGAGATTCTGGTAAAAAAAAAAAAAAAAACATCTAATAAGCGATGTGTCATTGTGTTTGAATATAACTAATTGTATGTGATACATCAGTAAGGAAACTCCGTTGTCAATGGGAAAAAAAACTTGAAGTTTGATTGATGGAATTGTTGCCTAATAATGGTTTCGTCCATCACGCTGAAACCCCCTACAGCCAAGTAGTTTGGTACAGCCGACATGCGCGCGAAACTAAAGTTTTGTAACAGCAATGGCGTCTAAAGCAGGTAGGTGTGCTGTGTTTATAGACGCCCACTAATAAACTAATACAACTGTGTCCTTTAGCAGCATTATAGAGATGTGATGTATCGTGTGTAGTTACAATATAACGCTAGGTGACGTTACAGCGTCCTATACAACGGCTGTCATCTGATGTTGATGCTAAACTTTCATCTTGAAGGCTTCAGTGTAGTTAGCATGTGGTTCCAGTCACAGTGGCTGACTCGGTGCTTTATCTAACCTCATCTTATATTTAACAGTCCCTTTCATTAGTGACGTTATTGACAGCGTCGTCTTTGTTATGAGAACAAACCTGCAACAATATCACGTGTGCAGGTCGCCGAGGGACGAAGCGCAAAGCCGAGGTCCAGGTTGAGGAGGAGGAGGAGGAGGAGGAGGAGGAGAAAGACAGAGGAGAGGGGGAGGACGACCAGGAGGGCCAGAGGGTGGTCATTGAACACTGGTGAGTAACTTAGTGGTATCACATTATAGTCTGTAGATAGGTGAATAAACACACAGATACTGAACATTGATTAAGTAGTTAATTAGTTAGTCTCATGTAAAAGTAATGCATTTGATTCTACTCCTAGTAGAGATAGTGATTCATGTATGTGCCCGCTCTTCCGTCTGTATTCCCATTTCGACAATATCCTCAATGTTGCTTAACATGGAAACACAGAACTCCTGAAGATCTCACGATCATGCAAGTCTACATTCCTTTAGGACTACCAGTTTTAATTATTTCAACTTTGGTTCTCAGAAATCATGTTTTTTTTGTCCCTCATTGAGTCTCAGCCGCTGTTCAATTCAGAACATTTGTTATTGCAGTTATTAACAAAACACAGCTTCTTAGTTTCTGAATTTAACCAAAGTTGACCTGAAAGTTAAAAGTAAACTAGAGCTGTGCTATAAATCAATTAATTTAAACCGTGGATGTGATAATGCAGAGATACACAGCTTCTCAGGACTCTGTAAAACAAGTCCTACTCCAGTCAAATGTACACAAAACGTGTAGAATCATTTCCCCATAGTACACCTTAACACCAAGTGTATCGATTGTACATCAGCCCCGGTTTTCTCTGCACTGAATCACAATTAGACAGTTCACAAAAGCAATTCCATCTATTGAATGGGTACATTGAAGTACATGAGCCTATCTGACAAAAAGGTTTGGAACCGCTGCTCTTATTCATAAGACGTCCTGCTGAACATTAGGCAACAAACAAGCATGATACCTTCATAAAAGAAGCAGCAGCAACTCTGAAGAATGATGGAATGATCATCAACTGCTGCCTATAGTTATTAACTAATACATATCCCCCTAAAGTATGAGTATAAAATGGTATTAATCAAGTAAAGTGCGTTTAACGTTAAACTTGAGTAAATGTATGCAGTTGTCATCCTCATGGATAAGTTGCACAGATGTCCAACTGATGGTTTGTCTGTTATTTCTGGCAGTAAGAGCTGACGAGTGTATGGGCGTAATGCTGAGGAGGTGAAATCCGCCCTCCTGGCTGCCCACCCTGGACTGACTGTGGTCCTCAACCCTGAGAAACCCCGCAGGAACAGCTTTGAGATTACTCTGCTGGACGGAGGCAAAGGTGAGGAAGGCCGAAAAGGGGATGTCGAAAAATAACTCGACCATTTGGCGTCCCCAGTAAAAGACCATCATTCTTAGCCAAGTGTCACTATCTCTGTTTTTGAACTTCTACCCATTTGTAGTCGCTAACAAAAACAGGTTGTTTTTTTTTTGTAACCCCTGTTTGCCATGTACCTAGTTTAGTTTTCTTATGTAGGTTGAGGAAAGACCAGTAAGGACAGGAAAGGTATATACTGGCATGTGATGGGAACGCAAACTTCAGAATGATCCAGAATCTAATTGAACACGTGTTTTCCAACCATTCAGGAAAGCCACACCAGAAAACTAATCTCATCTTTATGTTTAAAAGGTTTTACATCCGCTGTAAATTGGATGTGTTAACTAGGGAACTGAAGAAAGTAAAATCTTACCACAATTGTACTCCGAGTGATTGTTTTCTGCTCGAACAGTCAACAGGAGGCTGTGTTTACCAGAAGCGCAGAATGGCCACCAGAGATTTGCAAAAGAAAGAGCGAGACGTGCTAAAACACAATCTCCCTTTGCTAATTAGTCATAATGTGTGCTCTGTGTTTATTGTGTAAATATAATTAGACACCAGTTAGTGTTCACTTTTTGAACATTTATTTTTGGAGTGTCTCATATTAAACTGTAAACTAAATGTTTTTGATTTTACTGCTATCCTCTAAGACATGAATAATATTGCTTATTTTCTTTATTGTCCCACAAATGACTCTGTTGTATTCTGTCCCATCCCTAAAGAAACGTCTCTGTGGACTGGAATAAAGAAGGGTCCGCCTCGTAAGCTGAAGTTTCCTCAACCCGATGTTGTAGTTGCTGCTCTAAAGGAGGCTCTAAAGGCTGAGTAGAGACCTCGTGAAGGTTTGTCATTTCAAAGCGGTCATGCAGAATTATAATAATATGGAAGGCAGTAGATATACAAATTAGCAAAGATTTCACGCTCACAGTGAATTTCATTCAGCTGTAAAAGGAGACTTGAGAGCTGCTTTGTTTTAGAGGTAAAGGGAGTTGAGGGTGAAACTATTCTGCTTTCAGATTAAGTTTCACACGAGGGAACCAAATGTGGATTTTAACACGATACTCCATCTATGTAGAATTTGTGTTGGAAATGCCATTGTCTTTTTTTAATTGTGAAGTATGAGTTACAATGGGATGCATTTCATGGGATGTATGGTATCACCATTTATCTCAACTGCCTGGTTTGTGGGCAAGAATTAACTTAAATTAATGAAATTAACTTAAATATGAAACGATGTTGATGAGGCGAGTTGGTTGCAATCTGCTACTTCACCACTAGGTGTCATTATCTAGAAGAAGAAGAAGATATACTTTATTGATCCCCTAGGGCAAATTGTTTCTTTTAACACACACACACACACACACACACACTGAAATGCACACTTCATGCACATGTGGACATGCAAAGGGGAGAGATGGTGGAGTGATCTAGTGTGCAAATTTGTACTGGAAATGCTGAAATCTCTTCCCTTATGTATTTTTCCATTTCCCCACCGCCCGCTGCAGAGCCATGTGTCATAACCCAAACTTCGATTTCTTTTGATGTCTTAGCATCATATGAGTCACCAGCCTAGAGGAGACATAAACTGCTTGTTAGTCAAATTTATGATACAGTGTCAACTTTCAGCCATTAGACTAAAACGAACAGACTTCTTACTTTCAGTGGCAATATGGTGTGGACCCTTCTATAAAATGAAATTAGCAGGTCTGAAAGTAAAGGCATGCATTGCACAATGTAATGGCTATAGTAATGACACCATTGTGCGTTTTATAGCCTCGCTTTCACTGTGCAGTTCTGTGTTCATGCATGATATTTTCCAGCAAAAAGAAGGCTCAATTTATGACACAAAGGAAGTGCTTTTTCGCTTTAAAATAAACGGGTATTGCGGCATACTTGAAGTGGTACCCCCATAAATTTATACAAAAGGGGGTGTAGCTCACCTGGTAGATCCCCTTGTACAAACTCCTTACTGCAGCGGCCTGGGTTCACTTCCATCCTGTCCTGCTGATTGTCATCCCCTCTCTCCCTACTTCCCTGTCTCTCTTCAGCTCCTCCTGTCTAATAAAGGCCATAAAAGCCCCCACTAAAAATAGTGTATACAAAAGTGTCTTTGTTTAATGTTATCATAAAATTTGTTAGACTCAAAACACATCGACTTGTTGCTTATCAGTTATTTTTACCAACATCTCGTATGATATTTTGTCTTCTTTCCCCCGGAGGCTTGTGTCGTAACCTACATTTGAATTTCCTTTCTTGTCTTACTCTTTTATGAGTCACCAGCCTAGAGGAGACATGAACTGCATACAGTGTCAACCTTCAGCCATTAGACCATAGCTAACAGATTTCTTACTTTCAGTGGCAGGATAAATGGCGTGGACCCTTATTTAAGAATAAAATATAAAATATTTGTTTATTTCATTTCATATGATAAGTCAATAGTACTTTACCGCCGTACTTTGTAGAAGTGTCTATACTGCTGCTGGTCAAGATTGATGGCCTCATAGGTAACTAGGGCTGGAGTAGGGCTAGTACCTGTGGTGTGTAAAGAATTTATTTTATTTATTTATGTATTTTTTACAGAGTTTAACATGAAAATATTGTTGTTTTACATGCAGCCAACAGTTCGGGAGATGTGGCTCAAGGAAGCAGAATGATGAGGAGTGACCAATGGGAAGTTCTCAGTCTCTTCTCTGATGATCCAAGCTTCAGTAGCTCATGTCTTCTGGATACATGGTGACACCTAGTGGAGCATCTCTGCACCAATACATTTCACAACTTCTGCTGTTTTCTTAGTGTTTCTCCATTCCTCAACGGTTTATTGTGCTTTTATATGTCTTTATGGTAAATAAAATGCTTCTTGTTTCTTAGTTATTGTGTGAGTGTATGTTTTATTTTTATTTTTGTCATTTGGAAGGTATTTATTCCTGTACAAGTAATAATTATGGCATGTAATTAAAAAGATGTATTGTCTTGCATATAAAACCTGGTTTGTCCACTTGTTATCAGTACCCAGTGATTTTTAAAGCCTCAAGATAACATTTGTGACTTATACTACAACAAATGAAGGTTTCCCATTTTCAAATAAAACTATTTTCACTTGATGCTGAAAAACATTATTACGTAACTGTTGGTTTTAAATCATAAAATGACAACAAAAAAAGTCTTTTATTGACTCAAAGTCGTATTGCTGTCGTTTTTATCGAACCAATATTGTCAATAATCGATTTTTTTCCCTCCCAACGGAAACAAACGTCGACGACGATTGGTTGCTAAGGCTGTGACATCATCACTACGCGACCAGGCAGGCACAGGACAGAAGCGGCTGGGAGTCATTTTCATGCTACAATAACGCTTCAGATTAGTTTGTAAGTGCAACACATGAAAAATAATCACCGGACGACATTTCCTTGACAACACGGGAGCGGTTTACTGACGTTTTGAGCGTTTCTAGGAAGTAAATCCGCCTTTACTGCTGAAATAAGCGTGGCTAACTTAGCTACGGCCTGCTAACTAAGCTGGTGTTTGCCAGCAGCAGACCAATGAGCTCAACTATGTTCTTACAATGTGCTCATGGATAAGTAAACATGTTATGATAACTCTTATTGTAGCCAACGCTTAGCCAAAGATTGACACTGTCCTGTGTAAAGATTAAACCCCTCAGAGAGGCCGAGAGTTGAGCTGCCACTTTATAATAAAAGTACCTGCTGGCATTAATTTAATACTTGTTACTTGTTATTTGGCTGTGTCCTTATGTTTGTGTTAGCGTTTTTGAAAAAGAGATGTGTGTTAAAATACTTATTACCGGTTTTATACATATTTTAGAACTTTGTGGCTCTAACTTTTCACAAAAGTCAATATTCTTGACATCTCGTAGAGTTAATCAGTACATGATAAATGTGATAATACTACATTAAAAT